TAACAAAAAAGTTTTTAAGAGTTTAAACAAGTTTAAAAGTTTAAAAAAGTTGAAGCTACATTTATACTATTAAAAACAAAGAACTGTAACTTGGTGACTCCCAGAAATTTTTACCGAAGATTTCTATAGCAGCAAGTGTATTATTTGGCAGATTACTTTGATAGAGTGACTTTGCGGATATTTTTCTTGTTATCACTTTCTTCACTATAAACTTCTATTTTAAATTCTGTAACAGGTCTTAGTTTGTCCCTTCGATACTGGCTGATGTCTGGAAATCTTAGAGCTACGCCCTTAGAGCCTCATAAATGGGTAATTTAAAACTTTTAATTTCTTTCTAAGCAGCAACACTTAAGACAGAGAGAGCATGTTAGTTAGTGGGACCTTCAACCCTCTCTGACCTGCGGGATCCGCCTTGTGTATGGAAGTACTGAGGTTTACACGTACCACCCTCCACAGCCTTAGGACTATTTTGGAAAATGGAAAAGGATGAATCTTATTTTTCATCTTGGGAATGAAATTATTTTTGTGTTTTTTTTATTTTTGCTTTTAAAATAGTAAGATCTGAACAAATATCCCAGCGAGCCAGTCTACCAGCTGTCTCACTTCCATGAGTCTGGAATGTGCAGTTTTGATAAGGGAGGTAGGTAAAATTCTTTGGCTACTTCCCTGACTCTTGGTAATATTTTACCCTAGTTTTGTATTACCTATTCCCAAAATGCTTAAAAACAAAAAATGTGGCAGTCTCCTAAAAATCAGGTTCACAGGGTAGGGGGAGGGGCCCACAGATGAGCAGCACTGGGATGCTTGTGTTCTCAGTGTGCAGCTCGCACGCACGCACGCACACGGACGCTGTGTCAAAACTGTGAGCCTGGTTTTGTCTATTTACAAGGCTCTTTTGCAGACAGTTTATGTGAGCTTCTAAATTAGTGGTTTTCAAAGGTTCCACACCCAGGGATGTGGAAAGAGAATGTTAAAACTCTAAATTTAATTATCTCATCTTACTGTTGCTCTATGAAGTATACGGCGTATTTATGGTGCAAGCAGGTGTAACCATAGAGCCGGGAGGAAAGCAACTTGTGTCTCATCACACAGACACACGTCCTCTTGTTCTTTCTCTCCCAGGATTTTGAAGGTTGATTTCAAGATGACTAGAAAACAAACGTGGTCAGCAAAGCTTCCCACAGCCTGGCCTCAAACCTTGATTTTCTTAAGGTTTCTGTCTCAAATCGGTCCTCAAGGTAACATGGTCTAATCAGAGAGACCAAACCTTCACTGGATGGTCAAATTCTATTCTCTGTCTACAGACCACGCACCCTGCTGCCCCTCCCTGACCCCTGTCAAAGCCTTGTTGTTCAAATGGAGCAAGGAAGTTTGAGGATGTAGACTGTGAATAATAAACACAATTTCTCTCAAAGTTATGTAGACTTGTGCTCTAGCAGGCTTGCATTTCTGGCTTTATGACAACATAGCACAGCCTCATAATTAGTATTCAGAATCTTAGTTACACGATGTTCCCCCAATTATCCTGTGAAGGGCTTTTGTTCTTTCATTCAACAAGTGACACTGAGTTCCCCCTTCTGTCATCCACCACCCTGGGTGTAGGCAAAGGCACTTGCTTATTATAGTCACTTTAGTGAAAAAAAAAAAACACACAAAAAAACCCAAAACAGTTGCTAGTGAAAGGGTGACAAATGGTGAGGGAAGGAAACGTGACTCGGGGTGGGGAACATACAAAACAGTGTACAGATGATGTGCTCCGGAGCTGTACCCCCGCTGCCTGGATGATTTTATTCATCAGGCAATAATACAGTCAATAAAAAAATTAAAAAACAAAACAAACATTGCTAATAGTCAGCTCTGAGCAACTGACTTCAGTGTGCGGGTGAGGACTGTCTGTTACCAGCACATTCAAGAGGTTTGTCTAAACCTGTGTGTTACAGCAGCTCAGGCTGCTTTGAAAGTCAGACTGTTTCGATACGTCTACTAGAACCCAACGCCCTGGAGAAACTCACCAAGTTAGTAAATAAAGGAGTAGCTTTCCCCATAAATTAACAGGCAGAGGATTTACCATGAACAAAGTTCAGCTTGCCTATTGAATTATCTCTGCTTCTAAAACAGAGGATTTTACAATGAATGAGGTTTACCCTTGAGGGACAAACATAAACAGAAAGGAAGAACGTCCACATTTTTATCATAAAGACTTATGCAAATAGGAGTCTTCTAGGTGAAAAGTGAAGTTCAAATCTAAGACTGGAGGCCACATGCCCGTGTCTGCACGCAGATGACAGAACTCGGGCAGTCAGGAGCTCTCTGCTCACGCACTTGCTTCTGTTGCCTCCTCCCTTCTTCCTGGGGCCCCTCCTGCTTGGAGCTACTGATGGAAGAGTTAGGAAGAGAAGAGAAAATCTTACCCTTTTTTTTTTTACCCATACCCGAGGATATGGTTTTTTAAAAAATGATTAGAGAGAGAGATGGAGGGAGGGAGGGAGAGAGAGAGAGATCAATCAGTCACCTCCCATACACTCCCTGATCAGGAATCAAACCTACAACCTTTTCTGTATGGGAGCTCACTCCAACAAACCGAGCCACCCGGCCAGGGCAGGGACTCTTACCCTTCAGACCAAAGGTAGAGTGAGGCAGGAAGCAGGAAAGGCGAATGGCCAACAACTCCCGAGCATATACAAACAGGCGCACACTAAGAAACCTCAAATTCCCTTCATTCTTCTGCAGATCTGGTCTGATGGGTATAACAACTTGCTACTATCTAGACTGAGAACCAGGAAGAAAGATTTACTTTCATATTATTGTAATAATTTAAATTCCTCTAGTAAAAAATGAAATCTAACTTCTTAGCTCAAGAAACCTACATGTAATATAGAAAAAAGCCTTAAGATCAAGATTTGACCTGGTAAATACCTCATTGGTGCGATCTGCTAAGATCGTGAACAGCGTGTGATGTCCACTCCTAACCACAGCCAGTGCCTTACACTGAGGGTGCATCTGAGCTTGCCAGTTCTCCAGAATGTTTTGGGAAGGCTCACTGTGGTCGGCCCGCTCTCCTGATAAGAGGTGGCAGCAGGCTCTGGATAGAAAGCGCTGTGCAGAGCAGGATGCTCAGGCAGCTGCTAGACAACCTCGTGGACAGCGCTAGGTCTGCAGTTTCTTTTCAACCTCAAGATTTTGACCTTCCCCTGACATTCTTTGGTGGAGTCTGGACATTGGGATAAAGACAAAAGGGGCCAGGATCACTTTAAACAAAGAAACAAACTTGAAATTCTTGGTCATTTGTTTACCGTTTGAAGCAGTTATTTGCACAAAAAAAGAATCTTTAAAACTTGGGAGCGTTGTTCATCATGGTGAAACATTTGCAGCAGTCCTCAAATGGGAAACTATGTGAATGCAGAAGTGGTTCTGGTGAGGGAAGGAGACTTGTCTGTGCTAAGAGCTCACCTTGCCCCTCTCTTGTCTGAACTTCCTTTAATCCTTCTGTTTTGGAGATATCAGTGGGGACTATAGTCCAGTTCTCCTTCCCCTGGACCAAAGGCTTAAACCCCTTCTGTGTTACACCAAATACAATTTCAACCTCTTGCAAAGTGGCTCTTTCACAGGCTGTTGTGTTGTGAAGACCTGATGTTCAAAGACTATTGGCTGCCCACCTTAAAATGTGACACCCATTTCTCCTTCTCAGTAACTGAATCCTGAATTTGGAAAGCCATGCACACAGCTAGAAAGATAAGTTTTCTTAGCCTTTCTTGCAGCTAGTTGTGACCAGATATCGACCAACTGACCAATGAGTATATGCGGAAGGGCTGAACTATACTTCTTGGTGGTCCTTAATAGAGAGGAAGTGATGTCTTCTGACCCTTTATTCTTTTTCCTACATGGAAAGCAAATGTAATGACTGGAGCCCCAGCAGCTGTTATGAACTACATAGTGAACTTGAGAAGGAAGCCAAGATTATAGAAGGAGCATGTGTCATTCATACCATGGAATGCTCTACCAGCCCAAAATGCAACCTCCAGACTTTTCTACGTAAGAGGCAAGCAAATATCTATTTTTATGAGCCATTTATCGCATGCAGCTGGGACCTAATCCCAGCAGATACAGTTGGGAAATTGTTGAAGGAACTGCTCTGAAATATTAAGTATTTGGTGTACCAAATACAATAGCAAACACATCTCCAATGCAATTAATAATGCCAACAGTTTATCTTTGAATGGTTCTGAGTCACCTTGCATGTAGAGGGGACCCGTCACCAGGGGTAATGTATGTCAGTTAAGCATTTCTTAGGGTGTTATTCTTAAAGATGCTGGAGGGTTCAGAAATCATGTTTTATGTTGAATAATTACTAAAATGCCCGATGACATTATATATACTTCACAGTATTAGCATCTTCGGTTGTGAGGGTGTAAACACTTATTTAAAGGGTGTTTTTAACTAAGAAGACTTATTTCACTGAGTGCCTACTATGCGACAGACCTTGTGCTCAACACTTGTGTAGTCTCATTTAATCTTTACAAATACACACTGTTCTTATTCTTAATTAACAGGTGGGCAAAATAGAAGGGATCAGCTAGTTGTCCAAGGTCATATGGCAAAGCTGGAAATCAAACCAAGGTCAACCAGGCTTCAGAACGGGTTACGAAACACCACACTAAAGCATCTTCCGTGTTTATATTTTTCTAGATAGTCTTGACACTCCTATAAATTTTCCATTGATTTATGTCAGAACGCTGTCCGTTTTTATAAATTAGAAGGCTGGAACCCAGAGACGGCCTGTTTATCCTTAGGGCTCAGGCAGTCCCATTGTCAAGAGTTTGCTCCCAAGGACAGGGAGCCAGAGTCATTCTCCATAAAGCGACCTGATCTCCTCAAGTGTGATGTAGAAGTCTGGCTCTTTAAATTAAAAAAAAAAAATCCAAAAAACGAAGCCATCCAAGGTCACTGAGACTCAGTCTGGGAATATTAGAAGCGCCACTGAGTTAATATAGGCAGACACATTATGTTGTTATATTTTAATCAGAATCAGGCATTAAATGGCATCAAACACTCTGTATATCCCTTCCCTGTTCCAAATTTCATAAACTTCAAACACAAACATGACACAGTTTTAAGAATTATTTTGACTGGCCTCCCCAATCCCAAAGGAGATTAAAAAGTAATAATGTAAAAAAGTTAAGGTCAAGGTGTCTTAATAGCACAGCTAATGACTGACTGCTTCCTCATGGCTCCTGCTCCACCCTGAATGCTGCTGGGCGTCACTCGCTGTCAAACAACTGGTTAGTTATTACTTCCCTGGGAGATTGACTGTCCCCGAACGTGGGCCATGCTCTGGCACAGGGACACAATAGGCACTTACAGTGGGGAAGTTACCTCCTCCAGGTTGGGTCCGACGTTTGGCTCTTAAAAGCAAGATAAAGAATCAACAAAGAGAATGTTCTGCGAGTCTGTGCTCTTGGGATGAAGTGCTGGGATTTCGGAGCATTGTCAAGGGCATCTGCACCAGATGTTGTGGGGAGCTTTGGGGAGGGGCGAGCAGGCTGTTTCTGGACTGGGCACCCTGGCCCACTCCGACTTTTGTCCTGAGTGATGGGCCATCTGCACAGGGACGCTCTCGATCTGAATGCAGCATGGAATGCAAATCATCGGAACAGATGCTGGCTGTAAACAATGGGTGAGGCTGCACGACTCCCTGCAGGGGTATGGCTCGGTGTCTATGGAGCAACCGCATCCCGAGACGCCCCTCGTGACCCTAGCTTGTTTGCACGCGCACAGCCCCATCCCTAATCCACCTCGTCCAAGTCTTCCCCTGCAGTGGCTGCTTCTAAAGCTGCCAGGGCTTCCGCCACTGCCGCGTCCTCGTCCTCTGTCCCCACAGTCCCATCTCCAGCACAGCCGGGGGCATCCTCCCACCCATTTGTCGGATGGGCCGTAGGCACAGCCTGGGTGGGATCCTCTTCTTTAAAGTAGACACTCAGGACTTTTGCCGCCGCAGCCTTGTTTAGTGAATCCCAGCTTCTCTTCACGGAGGAAGGCGTGTGCGAACCCTGCCCCGGCCCGTCAGAGCACGTTTCCTCCGGGGGCTCCTCCTCAGGATGGCTCTTGAAAAGGTAATCTTCTTCCTGGTGACCTGCATTGCCTCCAGCCGAGTCCCAACACTGGGGGTAGTCTGGGGCTGGTATCTGGAGGACGTGCTCTTGTACTCCCACAGCAGGACATGCTGCCTTGGGAGGGACCCTGGAGTCCCCACGTCCGCTGACTCGGGTCTCTTCTGAGGACTGCAGCGCCCAGTCTGTTACCCTGGAGTCCCCTCCCTCAAGGAAGGGTGGACTTGGGTACACGTGGTTCGCCCTACTGGCCCAGGAACCTGTGCCACCCTGCCCAGGCTCCCCAGGGGGCTGCAGCACCGCAGTGGGCCCAATGCCATTGAGGGCGCTGCCGGTCTTCTCCGCACAGTGTCCCCCTCCTCCGCCCCCCTGAGGGTGCGGTCCCTGGGGAGGCCAGCAGGGCTCCTGCGGACCAGCTGTTCTGCTTCTGCTCACAGTCCTCCTCAAGCCCTCACCCTGAAGGTCATTTCTATGCACCTGGACCTCGCCACTCTGTTTGCCTTTTAATTTAACCGTGTCCTCTTCATCAAACTTGCAGCTGTTCACTTCGTTGACGTAGCCAGGCGAGGGCACTTGGACCGGGTCGAAGAGATAGCTGGGGTGAGAATGAGGAAGATCAGTCAGGCTCATCATTAGCTTTATTCATTTATAACTATTAATCACTCATTTCTACTATGAACGATTTCCTCTCTTCCTGTTAATTTCCATGATTAGTTACTCATTTAAGCCTGTATGTGTGTCTCAATCAAATAGACACAGTTGGTGTGAAAACGTCCCACCACTGGACCTGGTCCTAGGAGGAGATCCAATCGAGGGTGGGCAGAGGACACAGAACTAAGCCCTTCATGAAATTTGAAAACAAACAAACAAACGAAAGTAAATGTCCAAACACAGGCAAATAACCGGTAAGTACTGAGGTCACACCCCTCAGTGAAATATTATACAGTCATCAAAAGGATAAATATAAAGTCTGGACTGGCATGAAAGACACTTATGTTTTTTGTAAAGTCTAACATCCCATTTTGATTACAGTGGAGTAAAACTTGCACGTGTATGTATGTGTGCATATATACGGATAAAAATACACATGTATATGTATAAAGGTATGGAATAGAACTATAATAATAAAGATATATTTGTTAAGGAAGCCAAATCATCAGTTAATATTCCCTTTATTTTACAGAGAATTCTGTTCCACTATCTTCATCCTGGAACAGAATCTGGAAAACACTGGGAGCACAAATGTGATAGGGGAGATTCATTTCTAGTGACACCGTGCTGGCAATCCTCTCAAACCCAAGGTTTTCTCTGCACTTGAACTCTCTGGAGAAATGTAAATTCAGCCCCAACCAAGTTCAGTCATGGAGAATGATGGGGTTCCCAACGTCTCTGAGAAGGAAGCAAAAACACTCAAACAGTTTGAAAATCTGGGCCGTTTGTCCTCTTAATGATCTCAGTGCAGTTCCAAATGCGTAATTCCTTGGCCACGCCGGTCCCGCCCCAGGCTAGAGAAACACCTTTGTGCGAGTCGTGGATTTCTCCACTCGAGTGAGCTGCGTTTTTTCTCAACATTACCTGTGTATCATTTTACAGCACCTGCACCCCATCTGGATTATGTTCTGTTACCATCTGGAAAAGGAAACATAGAAAAGGAGAAAACACGGTGAATGACACTTTCATATAAATGAAGTTTGCTTTTTCTTTCCCAGGTGCTCACAAGTTAGTGGCATCTCAGGTCTTCGGCAGAAGGATAACACGTGGGCCAGGGAGGCACAAGAATGCCTTTTGGTGTCGAAAATCACCAGTTCAGAGCCCTCACACACTCACTGACTCTTGTCTGTGTATCAGCCCCCCCCCCCCCCCAGTGCTGGAAGTTTCGACTGTCTCCCCCATTTTGCAACGGCACAAATACAGGTGGAAGAATGCCCGTGAGAGAAAGGTGGGGCTGGAAAGGGCCTGTGTGTTTTCTATTCCACCGCCTTCTTCGGGGCACCCGGGAGCAGAAGGATGAGAGAGAGGAGGGGTGTCCTTGTCAGGGGATTAGCTACTCAAGTATTTAAGGACATCAGCGTACGGCAGCCACTCTGTGTGGTCCATGTTGGAGACCTGAGGGGGTGACAGCCAGAGTCCCCAGCACGACCTTCACCTGGGCCAACCTGCTCCTGCTCTCCCTTTCCATCCCAGGGATGGTTCTGGCTGTAATTCACGGACTCCACTCTCATGCAGTTCAAGGACACAGCGGCCTGTGGGGCTTCCAGGTGGCAGACAGACTCAGGTCTGTGCCTCTTTCATTTCTCAACAGCCGACTGTCTCCTGCCCTTTCCCAAGGTCACATTCCCCTTGTCCCCCCCAAAATTGGCCTCTGAATAAAACCCTCTCTTCATGTAAAATTGACCATATTCTTCTGGTCTTTCCTTTGAAAATCCTAAAAATGAGTGTGGAAAAACCTTTAAGTCACCCGCCATCTCTAATATCTATGACCTTTGAAAAGACAAGACAATCAAAGAACAGAAAGCCCTAGTCCCTCTGTCTCCACATTGGCTGGGTCACTGCCTGCCCTGCTCTCTCTCTCCCCTTCTTTCAGTCATGGATGAATTTCCCAGGATGCTGCTTCACAAGCCTTTACCCACCAAGAAAATGCCTGGTGTTTTCTGAGAAGTGCGGACCGGTTGGTTGGTTACAGGAGACTAGGTTTACATAGATAAATCAAATCCACAAATAACCTCTCATGCAGGGGTGAAAAAAAGCTCCCCCCCAGAGATATCCACAGCCTCATCCCTGCAACTTGTGAATGCTACCTCATATGACCAGAAACAAAGAAAAGAAAAAAAATCTCTGCAGATGTGATTACCGATCTGAGGTGGGAAGATTTGCCTGGATCATCGTGTTCAGAGTCCAGCTCTGCCTCTTCCTGGTTATGTGACTTTGGGCCTCAGCTATTTCATCTTTAAATGGGGATAATGATATGCCCACACACGGGGTTGTTGGGGATTATATGAGTTAATATTCATACTAAGCATATACCTGTTACTCAGCCTTGTTTGGATACGGCATGCTTAAAAAGACTATGGCCTTGCACTTGAAAAAGATGTAGTCTACTTGCATGACAAACGTGTACAAACAAGAGCATTAATAATGCAATACCAAGTGATACTTGTTCTGATATATGGGCCAAATGGTGTATTTCCACCAACTGTGGCACCAACTGGAAGACACAAACCCCAAGTGTGACAGAAGGTCCACAGACAGAAGTCACTGGGGCTTAGCCTGCAATATGTGTGTGCAACTTTTCTCCTTCTTCAAAGCACTCAATTAAACTGGCCATTTCCCAAACCCGGGGCTGTGTTTCCAGCCTCTGCTCCCCATTTATGTCTCTTTTCTGCTAATAATCCATGAGTCAGCTGGATGAACAGGACGAAACGCACCATGTGCACCTGCTTCCCTCCTTCCCCCCTCCTCCCCTCCTGCCTGCGTTCCCTCCATACCTGCTCTCAGACCCTGCCTCCTGCCACATGGGCAGCACCTCTGTTTACCCAGGACTCTATCAAAAAACAAAATAACACAATCAGCTGGGAGGATGGCCCCCCGCAAAGAAAAGAAAGAAAAGGCTTTTAAGTGTTTGAGACAGGGTGTGATGTGGGTGATGAAACAACTGGAACAAATGTAAAACAATCATTGAAAGATATCAGGTCGGCCAACTTCGGGATGGTGACTGGAAGAGTCGTACAGAGGGAAGGTTTCCTTGTGAAAGGAAGGAAGGAAGACAGGCACGTCTGGAGTGACACCTTGTGTTGCCTGTGACTCGGAGGCTAAGTCGACCCTGGGGAAGCCTGGCTGGATCTGTCCCCTCCCTCTGCTGCTGTGGCCACATAAGCAACATGCACCCAAGATGCAGTGACTGCTGAGATTTAACAGCCACCACTTCCTGTTTCCTTCAAAATTTACACGTCACCTGTGGCTTTTAGGGTTCCCTCCCTCTGCTCCAGGAAAACCATAGAATCTGTATTTTTCTTCAAAGCCATGTAATTGTGAAGGATGTTTTCACAGTTGTCCCCTTGCAGGATCAAGTTTCCAGCCACCCCCCCCAACCCAATGCCTCCCTTTAGGGCACACCACGTGGGTTTCCCACAGAGCTGGGCCCACACCCGAGCGCCGTGCTCTGCGCCTGTCCCGGGCCCGTGGTCATGGCCTCTGCGTGGGCAGAGGTCCTGCCCTCTCTCACCTCACCCGGTGTCTGCCTCCCCCAGTGACACTCCTTCTCTCCATGAGACCAGCGCTAGTGTCCAAGGTGGTGTGACTGCTGGTGGAAAGGGTGGGGGCTAATGCATTTCGGCCAGCCCCTGCCTGCCCATAGCTACAGTTATTCTTCCTTATTTGATGATTCCGAATATCCAATTCGTTTTTTTTTCTCTTTCCACATGTCACTCCCACACCTACATCCTGCTTGGAGGGAGGCATTCTCCCATTGGTGGGTGCAAAAAGGAAATACTCCTTGTCCGGGGTGAGACACGGACTTGGGAAGAACATACATTCTTGTGGAGTAAGACTGAGTTTAAGACGGGCCACCTACCTGCTTTCTCTGTCCTGCTCACTTGGACGACAGCCAGCTTAAAGGTGAGAAATCGGTTGTCAGGTGCCCTTTATTATCGAGCAAAGACAGAATTTGCTTTCTCTTTGGAGCACAAAAAAGCAACCGCGAAGCAAAGGGCAAATATCCTTTACAACCATCATCTCGTTTACACAGGGGAAAAGCAAATACCATTAGGGTGGGGTGCCCATCACCACCGGCGCCTGCCTGCTGCCTGGGGTTTGTGTTGGGGGTTGGCTCCGCCCTGGGTTTGGTGTTGAAGCTAAACAGCCACGTGTTTGAGGATGGACACGGCAGTGTCCCTTCATTTCTAGTCAGTCTCCTTGCCAGGAAAATCCTGTTTCATAAGGGGGAGAAGGGTGGTGGTGGGAAGAAGGGGCAAGACCGGGAGAGCCAGGAGTTTGCCAGCCGGGTGGAGAAAGGGACTGATGGTCCAACAGGAAGTGAGGGGGACATAGGAGAAGGCTTCACCCAGGAGCAAAGGGCTGCCTTCGCAGATTAGGTAATAATACTAAATCAATGTTCATTTTCTGGGGCTCTATAGAAAAATGCCCTTGTTCTTAGGAAATACACAGTGGAGTATTTAAGAGTAAAGAGCATAGAATCTGTAACTTATTAACATGATTTAGGAAAAAAATTGTGAGTGTGTGTGAGTGTGTGTGTGTGTGTGTGTGTGTGTTTAGAGTTTAGAGAAAGAGAATAAACCCGAAGTGGTAAACATTAACATTTGGGGACTCCGGGTAAAGGGCATTATATTTTTATAATAAAAATAGTCATTTTATTATAAAATTTATATAAAATAAACCACAAACATGACAGTTAAAAATAAAACTTTAACAGAATAGAGAAAACATTTCAAATGAAAAAGTAGTAACCAAAACCTATCAGCTTGCTTGAAATGATTCATATTCTAGATAAGCACTTTCTTAGATTTATAATAGTTATTTCCATTATGCTTAATTAGGCTATGAAATAGTAAATATTATTTTTAAAAGATTTTCAAACCCAAGGTATATGGGGATTCTTTGTATTTTTCTCGAAACTTTTCTGTAAGCCTGGAATAATGTCAAAATTAAAAATTAGAAGAAAGAAGAAGTGTGCAGGCACTGATCAAAATCCCACTGAGCGTCGCGCACGTAGCCGGCACCCTGAGTATTTACCGAAGGCCTCTGCCCAGCAGGCGGCCCCGCGCACGCACAGTCCCCATCCTGCCTGCTGCCCCGTCTCAGCGAGGGCCTCACGGTCAGGCGCTGCGGCAGACGTGCTGTCTGCTGGCCCATGAGCACGAGCTCTTCACTGACAAGGCCTGAGCCAGCTTCAGGGCCGCTCACTCAGAACACCTCTCGCTCTTATTCAAGTGAAGAAATGATTGGTGTTAAGTTACAGGTGCCGAAGAAGTGAGGGACACATGTGAGATTTTGGAAGTTCCCACAGAGGGTTTCCCCTCTTCCATGATCAAATCTCTCACTACCCTGTGTTCCAAAAGGAAAAGCCAAGGGCAGGAGCTGGGAGAGGGACCTGGGTTCCTCCCTCCCCATTTGGGAAACAGCAAAGCCTCCGGGTGCGGTGCCAGAGCAAAGGATGCTCTGCTTCGGGGGCCCCGGTCACGGAGCTTTTAAAGCAGCTGCTGGGAAGTGGTTTGAGTTTATCAGAGATGAAGTCCTTGGAAGAGAGACATAATAAAATTAAACATTTAAAATTACAGCTCCATTTTGAAAAACCAACTTGCTGATGTTTATAAAAAAAACAGCAGGGAATTCATGTAACCTGGTGGGCAGGTGTGTTGGGAGCCGCCCTACCTGATTTCAGGAGCTGTAACCCCCCATGGCTAAGGCTGAGTGAGCGACCTTTGGACCAGAAGCCTCTAAGGAGACAAAGCTTATCTCCCTGGCAGGAGCGCCGCTTCTGCTCCTTTTACTTCATCCATAACTGGCCCCCAATGCTTGATCAGCTAGCCAATGACAGATAAGATTCCCCACGAGGAGAACGACCTAAGACAGGCACGATCATGTGGAGGCCCCAGGGAAGGGCTTGGGGGGCTATGGAGAAAGGGGGTGATGGGCCCTCGCCCCTTGGCTTTGACGTAGCCTGAGTCCTCATTCTGTCTGCGAGAAGTCTCCTAATCTCTGGGCTGCCTTACATCCCCTGCCTGACTTAAGCCTGAAACGATGACAGAGGGCAGTGCAGGCCTGTGCTGGGAAGGGTGGGCTCCCTGGGGAGATCAAGCCTGAGAAAGGATACATAAAGTCCTGTGAAACCTGCTTTGTTAAGAAAGCTCTCGATTAAATAAGGATCCAAGGAGAAAATGAGTTTGTTTCTCAAAGTTTTGTAGCCCTTTAGCTAACAGACCCTGGCTCAGAATAGGCCCCCAGAGTTCTTTGTATGATATCTACTGTTTGATCCTTACTGCCTGACGATGATTAATGAGCTTTACCGGTGTTCATGTGCAAAATGAACCCAATATAAAGCCCATTGAGGAAAAGGCTCTTGGCCCTTCTCCTTTGAGAGATTGGCCACCTTTCCTCCCCAAGCAGATTGTGTCTTGGTAGACTTATTCTCATCCGAGGTGGCCAGGGGGGCCCTGTGGGTGGAGCTCTCCCCACACAGGTGAAGCCGACAAGTTTAGGTGAGTTGCCCCCCGGTGCTGAGCTCCTGGACTGAAGAGGAATGAATGAAAACAGCTCCCAGGTGCTTTACACAGGAGGCTAAAGACGTCCTACCTGACTTCACAGACAGCACTGAGTCTGCCGTCGAACGAGGACAAGGAGATAACTCCTGACTGCCTAATCTATTTCCTCACGCCACTCCTTCCTTCCTGGGCAGGCTTTGGAAAGTCTCTGGGACACATTTTTCTGGTATGTTTCCTTTTTTTTTTTCCTAAAGAGGCTGAGCGTCACTGATTTTGGCACACCTGAGGGCTCTACAAAGATCTTTCTTCTCAGCACCATCTAACAGCCCATTTTACGCCTTCCCAGTAGCCGAGGTGCTGTGAGGTGGGTGTTAGTGTCCCCTCAAACTGGGTGTCCTGGGATCCTTGTGTGCAGAGAGGTATGTTTGTAAGTACTCTCCTAAAACGGGGGTCCTTGCTCAAGTAGCTTTGGGGACAGCAGAGAGTAAAGATGAGCACATTCATAGTTATCGAAAGGACCTGTTTCACTTGGTTGAACCTAGAAATCTTTGAAATTACTTGACCACAGAACTTTTTTTTTTCATAAGAGACTATTAACAACCAACAAAACTTGCATTTTGTGTGACATGTTGGGGAAAACAACTGCTGAAATGAGGGTCCTAATCACCTGGGGGAGGTTTGTGCCCTAAACTGATAATGTTACGGGGTGTCTAGCGAACATGGCTGGGCAATGTCTGTGACCAGTTGTCCCAGCAATGGCTCCATCACTGGCCCCTGAGATGTGGGAAAGCAGCTGAGTCTCTTTTTTCCTCCGTTTCTGCAAAATGAGGCCATGACATCGGAGCACACGGCTCCCTCACTGAATCCCGAGATCTCCCCTGCCAGGTGGGCACCAGCATGACCCTTTCATGGGCAGGCAGCCCCACTCAGTGGTTTGTCAACTACCCTATTACCCTGCCATTAGGGTGTGTTTGGGGCCAAGCCCACACTCACCCCCCCACATTCCTGTTTCCTGCCTTCAGGCCCTAAGGTCTCGGTCCCATTCCCTGCGGCCTGCAGGTCTCTGCTAGACGTGTGCTCCCCTCTTCGCCAGGAAGAACCAGGGCGCCCAGCACCCTGGAGCCCTGAGCTGGGGTGAGAGTGTGCATCACAGCGCTGTCCTGGGAGGGGTGGGGACTCAGATCAGGGGGCTCTGTGGTGGAGGAGTGTCTGTGGGACCTTCTCCTCCACTGGAATGGGCTGGGGCAGGTGCAGGCTCCTGGGCCAGAGGGTCCCAGTGGGTCCCAGAGCACCGTCTGGCAGCCCTTGGCCTCCTGGTGTGTTT